TGAATAAGAGAATGAATTAGAGAATGAATTAGAGAATGAATAAGAGAATGAATTAGAGAATGAATTAGAGAATGAATAAGAGAATGAATTAGAGAATGAATTAGAGAATGAATAAGAGAATGAATTAGAGAATGAATAAGAGAATGAATTAGAGAATGAATAAAAGAATGAATTAGAGAATGAATAAAAGAGAATAAGAGAATGAATTAGAGAATGAATAAGAGAATGAATAAGAGAATGAATAAGTGAATGAATAAGAGAATGAATTGAGAATGAATTAGAGATGTTTATATATCTATTTGAAATAAATTGATAAAAGCGTAGAAACAGGAAATATAATTTTTATCGTTACGCTTTGTGAATCTCTTTATAAAACTTTATCGTTATGATTAACTAAATTTATATACCACGTTTTATGTAAAATTTATTGTCACTGTTATGCAAAGCCCTGACCCTGATTGTAATCTTATTGGGACATCATATATTGAAAAGTTGATTTGCAGCTTGTTTTTAACTTGTATATTTATTAATTAATGTATTTTCCTTATTTAGGCTTTATATTTGGTCGGCCCCTACCGCAATGACTATTCAAGGGATAATTTTTAATTCGGTTATTAACGTTAAGTTAATATTATTATGTAAGGGTTAATTTAAACTTTAGTATTTCTAGATTCTTTATATAAAGCTTAAATACTAATTAAAAAAAAAATATTAAATTTAAAGTTGAACGATCCTTTATACTTTTTAAAGATGTGATGCTACATACTCACGTGAAAAATAATCAGCAAAAACATCGCATGTATCTAACCATTTCCATTTAGCATCACGCACCTCGTGGATTTGAAATCACCCCTCTTTACAAGGGACTAACCTGACATATAATGATTTATCGCATAATAAAGGATCGTTCATTATCCTTAAATTTCTTTTTAACTAATACTCAAATTTTTATATAAAGAACCTAGATACTAAAGAATATGTACAGTCAACTCTCTATAACGAACCCTCGGAGTTTATTAAAAAAGTTCAGTTTAAGAGATAAACTTAGACATAGTTTATTAAGTATAGATGTATAGATTCGGTTTAGAGGTAACTATATTTAACGTTAAAATTTAAACCAACCTTTTCATTTAATTTGTAACCGAATGTACTGTACTTTAACCAATAAGTATGCAAATCTAATAAATAAACGCTATGACATGATCGATGTTTGATTGACATGATCGATGTTTGATTGACTGATAAAGGTAAGCTCCTTGTCCAGTCTCTCCTTTTATCTTACAATCTTACAATAATCTACATTACGGTACATGATTATTAATGCATAACGATAAACGTCATTATTGATCATAGCACGTGTATCAATCCATGGAGCTACCGGTAGTTGCCACGTACATACGTACGTACGTACCATTATTTTTTAAAAAAAAAGGTAAATAAATAAATAAATTGTAAATTAACTAAATATATCATTCATAATTAATTAAAAAGTGCCATTATTATTGTTGCATTTTCGAATTTACTGGTTGTTCCGATCTACATCGTTCCGCTGGAGACAATGATAACATTTTCTAACTAATCGTATTTGGTTTTATTCTAACCCTATTTACAGTTACTTAAATACTATTAATAATTTCAAAATTTAACGAAGAATGTTTTTAGATAACCTTTCAAACGAGATTATAAATAATAATCTTTACTATTTCTGTATATGATTGCTGCATGATAATGTATTAACGGCACATCTTTCTATATAAAATTATTATTATATAAACACAAATAATTAATTTCATAGTAAAGGTAATTAATAAACTTTAATTCGTCATACCAAGGAGGTAAACTCTGCTAGTCATATTATACGTACGTACGCACGTATCGATAAAAAGATTGTTTTTTATTCGTCTTCATTAAAAATTTTTTTATAAATTTTGATACGTATCGATATATGTATACGTATAAAATTATGAAACACACTTCATACGTAAATACCATACAAAATAAAGATATATATCGATATATAGCTAGGAAAACTTTAAACATCTAATCATTGGGATCATTAGGATCATTGGGCGTTTTTTTTGTAACGATTGTATGTAAGTGCAATGATTATTAAAAGGAAAAAGTCTTGTCTTTTTTGTCCTCTGGATACCCTTTTTTCTTAAAGTTTCTTTGACTTTCTAAAGGTAACTTAGCATGTGAAAATTTAATTATATAAACATAATCATAATAAATAATTTTACCGCAAGATTGGTATACAATAAGGCTTTTTTGGATTTTTCTTTCTACGGTGGCTTATTGATATTCATATTTGTGTGACAAGATCATCTACATAATGATACGCTTTAACGACTGGAAAAAAGTTGATCTTACATTCTTGTCGTTGGTGAGTAAATTATGAATTTGTTTTTATTATTATTATTATTGTATATGTGAACTTTACACATTGAGTAAACACACGGCATTTGTAGGCTGTCATAAAGAATATCCACTCTATTAAAAAATTATATTTTCTTTGAGAAATGAATTATGTAACGTTGATACTTTAACGAATAGAAAAGTCCATATTGATGCTTTATATATCATTGTTTTGAAAAAAAAAACTCCTATTTTAAAGAATTGTAATTGATCAAAAAAATTCTTATCAGTTCTTACAGGTATTTGTCAACATATTTCAACATATTTCAACATATCTCAACGTATATTTCGACACTTCTTCAACACACGTTCAACAAATTATTCTTTGGTTTCAATATGATTAATTTCCGGTTTTGTAATTTTTTCATTAAATAGTAATTTTATTTCAAATGATCCGGTCTAACGAGGATATAAGATTCATGGAATCAAATGGTAAGTTTTATTATACCGTATAAGTGGGTATAATTAGGAATAAACTGTATTTTACTGTAATTTACTGTAATTAATAAATATTTAAATTATTTCTATTTTAATATATTTAATATATTTTTTTATTAGATTCCTATCTATGTCAAGATTCCGTTTATTTGAATCAAGATACGTTGAACGATTCTGGTGTTTATGAAAATAAAGATATTCCTGATCCAACGTCTCCTTATATTCCCAAAAGCTTTGTAATTGCTCTAAGAGATTATATATCGGGTGTACAACATTCTTCAATCCCTCACCATCAGGAACGTATGCGTGATTTTAAAAACACAATTACTTTCGGTTCATTGAATAATGAGAATTGTCCAAAACAAGTTTCTTTATTTGAATGTACTCAAAATTCCCTTCGGAGCTCTCAATTAACCATTTATTCGGATATGGATTTTGGTGTTAAATTGGATACTGATGATGATGATGATGACGATTATGATGATGATGATAGCTTTAGTGATTATAGTGACATAAGTGATAATGATTTCTGTATTGACGAAAATGCTAAAGTTTCGGGAATGATTCAAGATTTTGATTTACTTATCGGTCCTGCTATCAATAATTATCAAATGTCTCGAACAACTTGGGCTGCTTGTTCAACAATGTTTTTTATCGTTATTTGTGTTATGATTGTTCTCTTAAGAAATGTCTGGTTGATTTCCTTTAATGGCATCACACAAACTCGACATGTTGTTGTAAAATGTCGATTTATTCATGCTTTAATTAATCTTTGTTCTTGTACCTTGATTTCTTTATCTTGTATAACTACTTGTATGGATTATTTGAATAGCATGCTTATCTCTTCCATTACCATAGCTCATGTCATAAGCAGTTTATCATACATTGACAATTTTGTGACTCGTATCAAAACTTATTACAACAACTCTTTCAAGAAGGTTTTGATCTGGCCGTTACTTATAATCATTATTTCTTTCTTTGCTTTTTGTGCTCTTGATCATTCCTCTGATGATCGTCCCTTTGGAAAGCAAGTTTACGTTGAAAAGTACATGCCAATTCCTAAAGATTACAAACCTGTCACTCCCGTTGTTCTTTCGGATGAAGATTATACTTATGATAAGATTTATTCTCATTTTCGTGGTGTTTTGGATTGTCGATTTATTAGTATTGAACATTCACGTGCTGTCAAAGGATTTATTGTTGATGCCGATTGTGATTATTAAGTAATTGTTGGATTTTATTGGTTTATTGTTGTTGCAGATTGTTGAATGCAGATTATGGTTATTAAGTAATTGTTTGAAATACACTTTTATATGATCTTCAAAATTTGACATTTGGCTATAAACAGTTAATTTGGGTGTTGATATTTTTCACCAAATTTTATTGGTGCAGGTTAATATTTTAAGCTTCGTTAGTTTGGGAATTTAAGATAATATTGGGCTAGCCTATTTTGTTTTTTTATAAAGACATGCAAAAAGACATGTTATGCAATAGCTTTTTTTAAAAATATTTTTCTATTCATTTCACTAGCTCTAGCTCTAGGTTTGAATAAATCAAAAAAATTTTTTTTTATGCTTTTAGTGTATATATTTTTTTTAATGAATTTTAAAATCTTTAGATATTGTAAGATATTTTAAATAGGATTCTTTTATATTGATGTTCTTGAGGGATAATAAAGTTATTTTTCGTAATAAACTTCATCATCGTTAATAATCGTGGATTTATCTGATGGTCTATCAAAATGTTTAGTTTGTATAGTTTTAATATTTTATGAAGAGATTTTTTGTTTAATGGTAGAATTAATTGCAGTATTAACGCAGTAATTATATTCTACTAATACTTGATACGTACAGTATAGTTTAACCAAAATTAAGTTAAAAATGATTAATATTTACTAAAAAAAAATTAGATATTAAAATAAATTTAACGTGTGTCTTATAAGAATATTTTGGGCTATTAGCTTTTAGTATTTTTCAAATAAGTTATAATCATAGTTAAACCTATAGTAGTATAGTAACAAAAGTACGACTAGCTATATTTACAACTTTAGTTTTACTCAAAACCTTTGCCTCATATCTGATAAAGAATTATTTATTAGTGATTACAATTACGTAAAATGGTTTCGCATAATAACTATAATCATAACTTGTTTTCGGTTTTAGCAAATTTATTACAAAATTCGGGAATTTTTGCATTTTCTTTTCTGAAATCTAGTAATTTCGACTACGAATTTTGAGTATTTAACATTTTTGTATGTAAGAGGTATATTTGTCACGCTAATACTAAAAATAATTTTTCGAAAGTAAACTATTTAATATATTTGTGAAATCGAGCAGCCAGCTTATTGATATAAAAAAGAATAATAATAAAATACCAGATAAAATTCAAGATTGAAAAAGATGACTGGTTTTCTCGTTAATGTTGCTGCACCATTGAAGAAGAGCCTACATTCGTGATTTTCAGAATTCTCTACAAAAGATTTATAACTTCTTTCTGAGAGATTTTCTTTGTATTAGTAGCATTACATGGCAAAATATATATTTCAGAAATTTATTTAGCATTTAAAAGAATACTTACTCAATATGAGCGTGTATATAGAATCGCAGATTTAAACAAAAATTTCCACTTTAATGATTTCGTATGGATATTTTTTTGTTCTAATAACCGAGAGATAATTATGTAATCACAATAATATAATGTTAACACCATTTGACTCGTTTAGTTCTGATGAGTTGAATGGTACAGGTTCCTTTTTTAGTATTCAATTTGGACATTTTCTTTTATCAGTCACACAGCAAATTTTGAAAAACTTACCTTCATTATTGACAATATTTGTATTTGATTTTTGTATTTTTGTAATCTTTTCATGAATTTGCTTGTCAGGATCAGTACTGTAGTCTTGTCCGGATTATTGATATTTTCAAGAGCAGTACTGTTGTCAGAAGCAGTATGAAGGAAAGAACTGAAGCCTTGAAGTAATAGAATTCCACTTCACTTTCAAAATAAAGTAATCTCTTTCCTTTTATAATGAAGTACGCGTTCATAAAGTCAGGTTTATTTCCTCTTGATCCTATTTCTTACAGAACTTTGCGATTTTTACTAGCAATGCTCTGACGTTTAGCCCTTGAAACTTCTACCTCATAATCCACAAGCGTGTCTATAGGTAAGTCAATAAAAATCAAGCAAACTTTTATAATAAAATTTTTTTAAACTTTGAATAAAAATAACAAGAATTTAATCAAATTTGATGATCAAATTTGATAAAGTTATTTTTTAAAGTTAATTTTACTATTGATTCACTTCCATCTAATACAATAATAAATGAGCTATAATTCTCTGCTAAATTTCTCTCTTTGCAATGCGTGATCATCTTCCGACTGTGGGTCATGTGACGCATCTTTTGTCGGCTGACCGTTGTCATTATGCATTAACATGACATAGATGCATTTTAATACGTGCGTAACTCTAATTGACATTTAACGCTAAAATTAATATCGATATGGATACAATCGAAAATTCGCACATATCAGCTCATCAAATAAAATGTCTTGAAGCTTTTTTAGAGGTACCAATTTTAATATTTTCGATTTAAAAATTTTTTGTTGAACTATTTCATTTTTCCTTAAAACTATCTCAATCTTTATAAAGAATACAGTTATTCAAAGTCCTGATACACTGTTGGATATACTTTGCAGGATCAATAGAGTATTAAAAACTTGTTGCCAACACGTATCCATTACCTCTGATAAGAATGCACTCTTGTATTGCAGTATTATAGCAAAGCACCAACAAATCTTGGTATAAATTCTATTACTAAAATTTAAATCTTTTCTTTTTTTACTCCATAATTATTACTCATTCTTATTCCATAATTTTTATTCACAGTTACAATTTCTTACGAACGACAATAAATTTGTTGTGTATACAGCCCAGAAATTATTAATCCAATGGATCTTCTTTCTATCTAATGAAGAAGTAAAGTCAATGAATATTACAATGTTTTTATGCATTGAAGGAAATGCAATTGGTCGATATTAATTCATTCTTGTTAACTTTAGAGTTTAGATCAAATTGATGTGATAGAAACTCAGGAATCCTTAATAACTGGCCTTTATAACTTTCACTACGCATCTCTTGAGAATGAACATAGTATTTCTTTTGGCACAGGAACCGAAGCTGTGTTTGAAATTTATCATCACATTTTGAAGGATTTTAGGCATCAATTATTACAAGATAGAGATGAATATTTTGAAGAGAGAATAGTTCATCATGTTGGTTGGCGTATTTTGAATATGTTAAATAAATGTTTTGCTGTAGAAAATTACATAGTCAATAGTCATAATACAGATTTTGAGGTACGTATATAGATATATCTTTTTTGAAAATTACAATGATAAATTTTTATTTACTAATGCTAATAACAATTATCATATGTTCAGACAATTCCTAATGAAATCTTGGTCCCAATTCTCTCCATAATCGCTGATATAAAAAAAATCGAACAAACAACTATTATGGTTGATGCCGAACTTATCAACGGAATAATGAATGTTATTAAGAATCTTTCAAAGAAAATTGATATGAATACAATTCATGTAGGTTTTTGTTTTAGATTTATAGTTATCATTAATATTTATCTTTTCGAGAGTTATTTATTCTTGAATCATCTTTAGATATGTAATTTATTGAATAATGGATATCATCCGATAATACGGAAAGTTTTAAAGATTCTATTATTAATAGTGGAATCGAAAAGTAATGTTGGAGCGGTAAGAATGATTTACAACATATCAATGTAATTTGTTTTTAATAACGATTATATCAATTAATTTGCTAAATAACTGCTTCAATTAATGATTGTAATCAGACAATTGAATGCCTTTCAGGTATTCTTGATTACGCAAAAAGAATAATAACCATGCCTGATAAGGTTCAGCTCGAGAATTTATTAAATCCCGATGACGACCATACAGAATTTTTTGACAATGATTATTATTACGACTGTAATGGCACGAAATTTGGATTGAGTCTCGAAATCATTAAGCAGTTGATTCAGATTTACTTCTCATCATATTTGTCGACAGTAAACATTTTGATAAATGATGAGAATTCAAGAAATGAACTGATCTGTGAAAATACTCGTCAAGTGCTAACTAATGCTCTTGAATTGTCTAAAGGTGATAATGACTATTTTTCTTATTCTTCTTCTTAAGGGTTATAATTGACATTTTTGTTATTTTAGACTTTAAACCTTCGACGAAACTAGTGGATTGCATGTTCAACTTGTATGTTAATAACGACAATGATCTTATAAATTTTATGAATAGTGTATTGCAATTATCAGCACAGTTAAAAAAACTGACCAAATTAACGGAGGTAATCAATCTTACTAACGAAACCGAAACAAAGTACAGTATTTTATTTAGTTTAATTGATTATCTTTTAATATTAATATAATAGTTTATACATATTAATTAACGCTATATATATATATATATGTATATTTAGGTGGTTTCTAGAAACTATATTGTCTCATTTCGAACCATTTCTTCAATATTGTACCCCTCACACAATATTCCTCAAGTTTTTACAATCAATTGGATTCGAACATTCGACAATATTAGATTTTTTGATATCTAATGAAACTCGATTTTTAGAATTTTTTATTACGTATTGTAGATATTTAGACCAAAATTTTGAAGAGTTTCGAATGGAATGTGATAAGTTTGATAAGGAGATTTCCAAAATAAATTATAAAAATAACTTTGAACCAAATACTGTGGACAATATGGAAACGGATTTAGACACTATAAATCAAGTAAATGAAGTATTTTGTAATCTTAGAGAGATTATACAATCGTTAATGGATAAACAATTGTTTCCTTATAATGCAAGCTCTTTGATTAAGAGAATTAAAAAAGTGGAAGAGTTGCTTAATAGCTTAGATGATTAAATGTTTAAAATGTTAATGATTTAAATTGCTAAATGTTCAAGTTCTTAAGTATGGTTTATAAACAAAAACAATCAAATAATCTTGGTCTTAATTCAATTCCAAAGTTTTTTTTTTTAAAAAATATTAGGATGTATTTAAAGGGAATGCGTTTCTTTCCATATAAAATGTTTTTTTCTATTAGCCCGACATTCACATATAGCTCTCGGGACGACAACCATGTTCTTTTGTTAGCCTATCTAAACAACAACCATAATTTTAGATAGCGATAGA